TCACCCCGTTGATCCCCCGCCTCTGCTTGCAGGCCGCCATGCTGGAGCTGTCCGCCGCCGCGCTGTCCGTCCTGGCGTTGCTGGGCTCCTTCCTCCTCCTCTTCCTGCTGACGGGCGCGGTGTGGCTGGCGACGCAGGGGCTGCGCGCCCACGTGCTGCCCTACTTCAGCGGCCACCACGTCGACCTGGTGGAGCGCTTCGGCTCCTGGGCAGGTTAGTCTTCCCCGACACGTGGGACAAAAAACCAACAACACTAGAACGCCATTCCTCTGGCTCTTAACTCTTAACGTCACATACCGGGTGTCCCGGCTCTTACATGCCAGTATGGCGGGTTGCATACGCGCTGCACCCTGAAAAATAGTTTCTTGATTCAAGTGCAAGCTGACACAAGATAAATTCACCTTTGAATTAAGGCAATATTGTAACTCGGGATTTACGCATGAATTCGCGTCAAGCCACATCCCATCCCCCTCCTGACCCGCCACTCATGCCTGGCACCTCACGCGAAGCACTACCCAATCGGCTGTAAACGAGGCTGTCAACGAGATATGAACACCGGAAATAATTTTGGGCAACCTTTTTGTATACTACGTCTGTTATCGCCGTTTTAAATCCTGCCGCCGATCTACTTGTTTCTTTCTGTTTCACTGCTGGTCGCGTTGGCACGTGAGCGGGTTCGCAGAGCGGGCCGCGCATGTCCCCAGCACGGAGGTCTCGACGTAAAGCCCATCACCTGATTTACAAACCTTTCTAGTGCTGCTCTACCGCTGGCATTCCGGTCATTCAACATGTCAGTCATACTCATAGCCCTAGCACTTATGTGCCAGTCGGGTATCTACGGAAAAGCCATAAACTCTTTTCTTGTAAGTTCGGTAAATACCTTTGATAAAAGTGACAATTTTAAATGCGGACGTGTTGTCAACACTTGCCTTAAAGGTGAGGAGGTTTCACATCTCTTTTTCGAATAGGGGCCATTCCTTTCTTACGCCGAACGCTTCTACATGTGTGAACCCGACAACCGCCAGCTTCCCTGGACGTGGTATTTGCGTGCCAGTCACTACAACCCACTTAAACCAAACGAGTTGCAACGCCTGACGGGTAATGTGACGATTGCAAATGAACCTCTTGATGACAGCTGCTGGGTAAGACATTGTAAATAATAGAAGTGTGTTAAAAGGCAAACACTTCAAAGTGACTGTCAAAGTGTGACTACTGAGCGGGGTAAAATCAAACACCTGCTAAACTTTTCTCCACTGGTCACACACTTCTTATGCACGGCACACTTTTGTGTGTAAAACTTTGCGGCACACTCTTTCAATTATTTGGGTTCCCCACATTTATTGAGTAGACGTTGAAAAGGGCAGAAATGAGAATCGATCACTACGAACGGAATCTTCTTTATAGATTAAAATAATTGTGGATACCCGGTCAAATAACCAGTGGAAGGAAAACGCCATTGTCTGCCATTTTAAAAAGAATGCATATCGGGCTATTAAAGAAAATGTTCCTGGATTTTACGAGCGTTTTTTCAAGAGGGGAGACGACAAAGAGGCAAGACATTTTAAACCGGTATGTACTAAGACTGCAGGTCAGAGATAGTCATACAGTTAGGAATTTTCTTTCTGGTATACGTGAGGATAGTAAAAATTGTTGCGAAAGAATTGTAAATGTGAAAGCTGTGATGACTTTTATTTACAGAGAGTTTACGAGGTCAATAATGAGACAATTGACTGGAGTTATCCAAATGTTCCAATCGTACCTTATGGACAGTATAGGTTCAGAGTCCTGATTGGAAAAGCTGAAAACCAATACGCATGCTGGGTGGTAAATTCAAGGGTGATTCCAAAACCCGGCCAGACGTAGTACCGCAATGTTTATGGTAACTACTTTATTGCTGTTCAAGTCCCTCAGAGCTTTTGCGCGGGGTCCAAAAATATGATTGAAACTGGGCATGGCAATATCGTCAAATATCGTTTTGTTTGTTAACACTGTACTTGCGCGGCCACATCTTTCATGTATCATGTATTAATGTATCTTCGAGTAGAATACACGCTAAATGTATTCGTATGTTTTTGTGCAAACGTTTGTGGGAGGTTCGTCGTACAAATAAAATGGTCCAAGTCCAGTTGGTGTGTACGTAGGTGTAGCAAAAAGTCGAAGCTCTGCACCGTCTCTCTCTCTCTTCCCGTCCCCCTCCTCCACTCCGTCACCAGAGTCGATCACCGAAGTGCCCGCTCTGGTCTCTGGTCAGCCAGGCGCGCGCCCAACGACTGCAGATTGCTCAAAAAGTCACCGTGCGGCGTTTGCATCAGTGCGCGGCGTGGCGGGGCGAGGTGGGGTTGAGTTGTACGGAGCGGGGCGGGGCGGGGCGGGGCGCGGCTGTGCGTGCGCAATGACGGGGCGGTCTGTTATTACCGGGCTAGAGCGGGCCCCGGCCTCCACCGCGCGCTGCACTCGCATGCACAGGTTCGAGCCGAGCGCCGCGCCGCGGCGCACACGATTCGCTACCCTCTGATCTCCCCGTCTCGCTCGCACTCGGGCGGCGCGCCGACCCGGCGAGAGCGATGGGGGCGACAAGGACAGAGACACCTCGGAGGCGGCGGCGGGCGGGCCCGGCGGGCGGGCCGCGGCGCCTCGCGGACGGCACTTAGAGTGTGCTTGTGGTGTGTGGCCTCCCCCGGCTCGGTTGGCCACCCCGCGCCGCGGACCGAGGAGCGCTCCACAAGTGTGTGTGGCACCCAATCCTTTTCGTGCTCTGCTATGGCTGGGTCCAGGGCCAACAAAATGCACTAAAAAAAAAACAAAAAAAAAAACTTAATTTAGTGAAGGAGAGATCAACTTAGTCTTTTGGAATTCATCGCTGTCAGTGTCAACACTCTAAATGTCCAAGGACAATTTTTGTAACTAGCACCGGACTTCTGTGTGCATAACTAGCTCAGATACAATATTGTAACTACCAACACACATTTAGTGACTAGCAAGTCACAATATTGTATCTGAATTCAGTTATGCACGCAGAAGTCCGGTGCTAGTTACAAAAATTGTCCTTGACATTTAGAGTGAAAGGACACTAAAACGAAAAAAAAATACATCAACAAAAAAATAAGGGAGATGAAATTAAATTCAAAATTAAAGTTGCGTGCTAAGGAATAAACTTGTTCTTTTACTCATATGGCGTGGTGTGGTGGGAAGTACTACGTCCTTCATTTGCCGTTACGACATTGACAAATTCCGCCACTGCCAGCTCTCATAGCGCCTGATGGGTAGGCAACATCTCGCCTGCAGCGCATGCCTGCACTGCGGGGTGGCCTACCCCGATTCTCGCAGGCGCCGAGCTCCCGTGAGTTGCGGAATGAATCTGAGTAAAAAATAAAACAACGTTCACTTGCTGGACAGTCACTTCTAAGGGATCATTAAAGTGTTAAACTCTTTTCGGTGCCAGCGGCGTCGGACTTGAGTACATATCACTAGTAACAAGTGAAAAGGGCGTAAGTCCAAATGAAAGTCCGAGGACTTACGCCCTTTTCACTCTTCACCAGTGATATGCAGAGGTGGCAAAGGAGTCGTACTCAGTGACGGTAGGCAGAGCCGCGGGCTCCAACCAACGGGACTGGGCGACCACCCCGTGTAGTGACTGTCGAGGCGAGGCGGCTATATTAAAAGAGATGCGGCCTGGTACCCACGCACGACACGCCGGGTAATGACAATAATGAGGCGCTGCGGAAGGTCGGACCTGGGAAGGACACGAGTGTGGACACAAGTCTTGATAAACCGTGTGCCCCACGGGCTTGTATCTCCTTCGTAGAAATAAATATATTTTGTCACTTACTTGCTTTCGGCTGGCATGAGACCGAATAATACTTGCTCCGTCGGTGTGTTTCTTGCTTGGGTGCGCGAGCGCGGGACTTCCCTCTGTAGTGCGGCTGTGCGGGGTGTGCAGGCTGTACAGTGGGTCAGTGGCCCGGCACGCACCGCACGAGGCCCGCCGAGCGCTGTAAGGCCAAGCCCCCGAGCCTGCACGACGACGCCGCACCACCCCCCACCCCCCGCCCCGCT